TTTTTTTGCACCATTTTGGAAACTTTTCTACTTTCACAAGGCGCCATACAAGTGTTTTAGAGTGCCATTTCCGCTCAAGAAGACTCATTTGTATTTGTTCCTGCAGTTCACATGAATTCTTGTGAGGTATGTATCTCGTTATTACCAATTTAGTATTAAATATATGCCTGTTAGAATCTCGAAAATCTACCGCGCGTGGAGTCTCCAGAATCCGTTGGGTCAGAATCACATGTACAGGAAATTTCCGCTGGTGTAAGATTGTTCACCTGTCTTCTCCTAGATTTTGACGCTGTATGCTTATTTTCAGCCTATATTCGAAGAACCGCACCACAGCAGAGAAGTTATTGAGCCTTCAAAAGAGAAGGGGTGCGTTTGGAAGTAATTTTTTGTTGAATTTATTGTGAAGAATAACTTTCTAGTGATGTTGATGATCGCTTAGCTGTTGTTCCAGTACCTTGCGCCAGCTCTGCTACTTTCAAAGTTCCACTTCAGGGCCCTTCGAGAGGTGGTTTTTTGTGATACGAATTCAACTGAGATTCGTAACAGTGTTTTGATTTTAGGAAGTTATGACGATGCCGTGGAGCTTACTAAATGGTCTATCCGTTTTGCTCCCATTGGATGTGATGGTCCAAAACTGAATTTCCCTAAATTTATTCTTCTTGGTTATAAGAGGTTTATTAACAATCTCTCTATGAGTCAACTTTCAAAATACTACTCTTTTCAGAAATCATAGCACTCAATGGCGTTCGTCAATTGTCATAAGAGTTGAAAGCGCTGAGATTTTACACACAGCTTCAACAAAGTATCGCCTTGTGGGGAATATGAATATCATTGATTCGGCCTACGCAGGTCAGTTTGTGAGGTTCGAAGTTTCGTCTTTTAAGCGGTTATATCTAGGATTTCCCAAAATATTTGTTGCCAACTTTCTTCGGGGTTTCCCTCCCAATTGGAGAACTCAAATAACAGATCTGTACACGTGAGTTCTATGCATGATCACAAATGTTTTTTTGCACTATGATTTTCTTTTATACG